ATGTCAAACTTGACAAAAGCCTGAAAAAGTTGAATTTCAGAAGGTGCTTGAGTGAACAAGCAGTGTACACCAGAGGAACATGAGCAAATGCAGCCATATTGGGGGTTTATGTTGATGACTTGATAGTGACAGGAGGAAATCCAGATGAGATCAAGTTGTTCAAGGAACAGATGATGACTGAATTTGAAATGACAGATTTGGGACTATTGACTTACTTGTGGCAGAACCGTCTAATCTAATACCCCACAGGAGTGCTTGTCTTCCAATAGACACTAAGCACTCAAGGGAGAACACTAAATTACACAGTTCCATCGGGCACACCCCAGGGGAGAACCCGAAAATCCACATTTTTGCCATCAGGATCACAAATGAGAGAATAAAGCCTACATCATTCTTAACCATTTCTTACATCACTTTTAATACAACATCAGAGTATAATATTTATTATTATAACAACGGAATGTACTCATATTATCAGAGTTATGAACAATTTAATTTAGCAGTGGAATATAAACATGTGATCAGAATTACAGCGGAAATAAATAGATATTCATGGCAGGATGAAGCATTAGTACATAAGCTATGACAACAGATTATAAATCTTTCATTTATAAAAATATTTGGTGAGAGTTGTAATAAAAACTACGATCGCAGCGTAAAGAAATCCTCGCTGAGCCCACCAGGAGGTATCCACACACAAGGGTCAGCTCTAGCATCCACCTGTCACCTGCAACAGAGGGAATAAAACCCTGAGTACTCAATTGTACTCAGCAAGACTTACTCGATAGGAGGAAAGAAAAGACTCCAAGGATATGCAAGGCTATCTGGCTTGTGGGTTTATTGCATTTGCAGGAAGCATTATTAAGCGTGAGTCCTTATATTTGATTTTTTTATTAATAGCCGCATTGGTCCATTAACTAACCATTATATGTAAGCACCTGTGCTACTTTCAAGCAGGTGGTAAGCAATCATATTTCCTTTTTCCATCTTACATCTTTCAGTTCCTACTACGATGCTAAACACGAGACAAGCCATACCGAATTTCCCGGCGATTCATGAATCAATGCCCCCAGCTGGTTACCCCGAAAACACACGCCCCACTTGTACCCCAGGCACAAGCAGGACCAACCCATCACTCTCCTGTCTCGGGTATCCAGGTCTCCGTCCAAACTGGGACTTCAAGCCTTCGCCCCTGAGTCCCGGACTCAGTGCGGTGCAAGGACCTCCTCCACCAAAATAAAGCCCTGACAGTCGGCCCAGAAAGAGCCGGATCCGTGACAAGAGAGCAACAAGTCTTCAAAGGACCCATACCCAAGTATGTGCTCAGAATAATAAGTCTGTGACTTGCCTAGAGCCTTATGCAACGACCGGTCCTTAATTGACACAGATGCGAGAAAGCGGTGTAACCAAGCCATGCCCCGCGTCTCTGGCGACACAACCCCTTACATCCACCAATACCCAAACCATATCACTACCCGGTCACCATTTTTCTTTCCACCATTTATATTTTTCAAGTGATAATAGTACAATAATATATTTCCTATCTCTCATGAAAGTGACAGCCATCACTCGACTTCTATCGGAGAATCTCCAGTATAGCAATCTACGATCCTGTCATACTAGTAAGACTCATAAGATACAAATATATATGCAAGTGGGTTTCATTCAACTCATTAAAACTTAATGCACAGTTATAATTTAAACTGCAGAAAAGTATGGGTTATGCACCGGGGCTCGCCAGGGTAAGATATATTAAAAGTTAGTATCTGCATCTTCAGATCATCCACAATCATTTGGATAGAAGCCCATTGCATCATCTCCTGGAGAGAATACCCTTACACCATCTTCGAATTCCTAATCATCCTTCGATCGATCCGTTGATCCACCATCGTACCTATATGATATGCATGCGATGAAATGCAAAGATGTAACTAATCAATCGCAATCGTGACCAGAAAAAATACGATGTACGCCTCTCGGTGAACAGGCTAGTTCTAACGACGACCGTACCTAGGCTACATATACACATTGTCGGATAAGGCGTTATTTCCCAACAAATTATTTTAGTTATATAAACCAACGATGTTTCTTTGTTCCATTCTTTCCATTTAATCTTTATTCGGAATAGGGCAAACTACAGTAAGTACCTAATATTGATATGAGCCTATTATACAATTTTTAGATCCAACACTATTACCACTTTATCACAACAATTCCTACATGTTTATATTTTTACAATATTAAGTACCTTAAATTAATTATATAGCTTTCAAGAATATTATCGAACTATGTGAACAAAATATACAAATAGGTAGATCCTGATTTTAGAGACTCAATAAAATTGGTTTGACATTTTATGATTTTTATTTGATTTAGTACCGATTTACAAACTTCAGCCATATTAGATAAAATAGCAAGCTCAAGAGAAAAAAAAACCTGAACCCACAACCACAAGGCCCAAAGAATGAGAGCATGCCGGCCCAGTAAGGCCATGGCCAACCACTGTGCAGCCCAAGAGACAACGGTAGGGCAGCCCAAACAGCAGTGGGCCCAAGCGCTGAGAAAAGCGTCTGCTGCCCAATGACGCAAGAGCAGGCCGGCCAGACGGCCCACAAAGGAGGCCGGCGGCCCAACCAGCTAGCCCAACCGGCAAGCCTGGGTGTCTTCATTTTTGCAAAAATGACCCTCATCATACCTCTATTCACCTCGAGATCCCCTGACACTATTTAAACATGTCACGTATTTGCGTAAAGAACCTCAGATAAAATTTTTGCTTGAGTTATACCCTCTTTTCATCCTCAAAAACAGAGGACACGGAGCAGAGGGAGCAAGGAGCCGAGGAGCTCGCCGGCCAGTGGAGGAGTGCGATGGTCGCGACGGTCGGTGAGGGCGGCTGTATGCTGCCGGGCGCGGTGATCGGCGCGTGCGGACTCCTTTTGGCACCGAAGCGGACAAGCGCGCGCACGCGGCTGAAGGTGGGCCCGGCGGCAACCAGAACCGCCATGGCAACGCTGGCAAGCGGGGGGCGAGGCGCGGCAGCGTGACCGTGGCGAAGCCATGGAGGTTCGCGTGCGCACGTGCATGCGTGGCCGGCGACGAGAGTGCGGGCGCGCTTGCGATGGAGGAAGAGCGACGGCAGGCGTGGCCCAGCGGGTGCCGCGGCGGAGCGGCGTGAGTCCCGGCGAGGGCATGGCAGCGCGCCTTGGGCGGACGCGCAACACAGCAACCAATGGCGGAGCACGGGCGCACGAACACGGCGCCGCGGAGGGCGGCGCTCACACGGCAGCGCTACAAGAGCGGCGGGCGGCGCGTATCACGAGGAGGAAGGCGTGGCGAAGCGGATGAGCAGCAGCAGCTTGCAGGGCAACGCAGATGGGGCTGCGCACGGAGGTGGAGCTAGGAGCCGCGCACGGGCTCGGGCACGCCCGCGACGTGAGGTGGCCGGCGCGACGCCACAACCGTCGCTGCTTTTGGTTAGCATCGAAGGCGCTGGGAGCGGTGCTCTTTATTATTGTTATTGGTCGCGGCAGAAGAGGCCGTATCGTATCGTGGATTATTTACTGCTGGCTGATTTGGTGTGAGAGAAAAACACTGTTCCTGGCTGGAAATTTACGATTGTTTACAAACAAGCGAACAGGCTAACGGGCAGTGGGCCGCGGAGCCGTGTGCGACGTGGACTTGATGGTGCAGGCGAGCCATAGCGCGGTGGTCGGTCATCAAGCGAGGCAGCGAGCACAGCACCAGAGCACAGAGCAGTGCATGGATGGGACGAGTCAACTGGCGGGATGCGCCGGCGCATAATGGCGTTATGATCGAGGACAAAAGCGCGACGAGACACGGAAGCGAGACCGCAGCAGTTTGGAGATGGACCGACCTGGACGGCACGGTCGTGTTAACTTAAAGCCACTGATCTCAGCGGCGTCCACAAGGAGCAAAGATAGGGAGAGTGCTAAGGCAGGCAACCGAAGCACGCAAGGTAGGCAAGGCAGCAGAGGCATTCAATGTGATGCAAGGTGAGGCGACAGAACCGGCAGTCGGACGGTGGCGCGTAGCGGGGGCGTGGACACAAAGCGGTCAGGACGGCTGCTGTCGCGGGTACGCTACTAATTTATCCTAGGGACTAAAACAAGTTTATACGTGAACGTAAATATGTCACTAGACCAAAGCTTTTCAACCACGCGTACTTATCCAAATAAACACGGGAGTGTGTGTGTGTGTGTGTATATATATATATATATATATATATATATATATATATATATATATATTTATTAATGGATTTTATTTTATTTATAAAGATTGCTTTTCCTGCTTAATCTAATAGAACAACCGTTCGCTATCGATTGGTCAAAATCGTCGCTCAACATTCCTAAATATTTCTACGCACTGCGTAATTTAACTTGAGCGCTTAATTCGAGTCCGCAAAACTAAGTCACACAAGATTCGCTTATCGCTTCACGTATGTTTTAAATCAAAAATTCGAGAAACTCGTTTCGAAAGTTTTACTTAGACCTAAATCGTGGCGCTAAATAAGATCGTAACACCGGGTGTAAGGTGTTACATTACTACCTTGAAATTGAGGTAGATCAGAAAGCAGATTACATCACTGTCAAGCAGTCAGGATATGCTAGAAAGGTTCTGTTGCAATTTGGGATGAGTGAGTGTAACTATTCCAGATTTCCAATGGAACCAGGGAGCAAACTCAATGCAGATAAAGGTGGCATACCAGTTGATGCAACTGGGTATAGGAGAATGATTGGTTGTCTCAGGTACTTACTGCATACCAGACCTGACCTCTCTTACTTAGTGGGTTTGGCTAGCAGGTTCATGGAGAAGCCAACAGTGATGCATACCAAAGTTGTGAAATAGATCATGAGATATCTGAAGGGTACTATTGATCTTGGGCTGGTGTATGTCCAAGGTGGAGGTACTGGAGAGATAGTGGGGTACACAGAAAGTGATCTGGGAGCTGATTTGGTAGAGAGAAGAGCATAGGTGGCATGGCTTTTTACCTAAATGAAAACCTGATCACCTGGTGCTCACAAAAGCAAAAGACAGTAGCCTTGTCATCCTGTGAATCTGAGCTTATGGCAGCCACAGCAGCAGCTAAGCAGGCATTGTGGCTGAGGAATTTGATCAGTGAGATTACCAAAGAAAAGCCAAAGGCAGTAACTCTCTTTGTTGATAACAACTCAGCTATAGCTCTGATGAAAAATCCTGTGTTCCATGGAAGGAGTAAGCACATTGACATCAAATACCATTTTATCAGAGAGTGTAGAGAGGGACAGATCATTGTGAAGAGAGTTTGCACTGAGGAGCAGAAAGCTGATGCTCTGACCAAGGCTTTGCCGGCTGGGAAGCTGTCAGTCATGAGACACTTGCTCGGGGTCAGGGATCTCAGTGTGTGCTAGGCTTAGGGGGTAGTATCTTGGTGAGTAACCCTGCCAACACTGACAGTGAAGACATTCAGTGGAGAAGGCGTAAGTGAGCAGGGCGGGAAGGCTTCAGTTTGAATGTTGAACGCCAGAGCGGAGCTGCGGTTGCGGTGACCGCGCCCATGACGCGCTACTCTCTGCAGTGTGTGTTTAATTTCAAAGTCATGTATCTTTGTTTAGCGGTTGTATTAGTTAAAGTGTGTGTGCTAGACTACTGGTATAAGTAGCTGGGAGTTCCTTGAGTCGTGTTATCACAGGAACCGCCGGTCAAACGCATTGTATCATGAACCATTGTGAGTGAAAAAGGGCACTGTCTCCCAGGTGACCTCCGGGCAGTTGCTTCTGTGTTCATCGTTTGTTCTTGCGTTCATTGTTCTTGTTGATCGATCTAGCCACCATACAACGAGTAATTGAGATCCTTCGCTAACAGCAATGTCGCCCTGGAAATTTCCACTCCCAAACTTATGTTTCACGCGATCTAGAACTGATATGCTGGTCTTATCTGAATTTCCATCCGGGTGGCAAAGCCCGTGAATATAATCTTCTCAAGCCAGACACATGCAACTGCATGCTCACTATCATGATTCATGAATCATGAGGACAGATCAAGCCCCAGCTTACAGAATCATAGCACTGAAGCAGCCTATCATTGTCGCTGGACAGTGGGTGAGCGCTGATCTCCTGTAAAAAAGGCAACCTGTCTTTGACCTGCTCTGCAAATCGGTGCCCAAAGACACCTGCATTGTTTCACTGCAAATTCGCATTCCTAGTGTATGTATCCTGCATGCTAGGACTGATTTGCTGTTTTCTGAACACTCAGGCATGTGCTTGTTACATTGACTGTAATAGATAAATGGAGGCTCTCTAACATTGTAGTGACAGACATATATTCTCAAGTTGCGGTGCCAGCTCCACTTGTGAAATGAAGTAATCCAATTTCACAGCCACAGAAAGCCTGCGTCTTTCTCACCTCTACTTTTCTTCCCCACTGCTTCACAAGTTCACAACACAATTCAGAAGGACACAAATATTAGAATCTAGCTGACAGTCACAAACTTCAAACTGTCCTGCAAATAGGTTTTAGTTGCATGTCATGTATTATTAGTATTAGCAAAACCCATTTAAAGCTCCAAGGCTTCATCATTTCATTTTACTATAAGTTGTTCATCTTTTCCTTAGTTTTAGTTTCTTTTTATCCATGAATTGATGTTCAAATTATTTTGTTCACCAAATTTGAATTATTATCATATTTTTAAACGTAAAGTATTTAATAATTGTTTATTTTTAAAAAAATTGAGTTTAACCTTATTTAGTACAATTTAAACCCTTCAAGTTTAGCATTGTATGTAAGAATTTAGGGCACATGAAAAACCATTCACTACGGGAGACGGCTTCTTTGCCGAGTGTCCTAGACTTTGCGGGTGTTTTTATCGGACGCTTTCGGCAAAGAGGCTATTTGCCGAGTGCCGTAGAGAAAGCACTCGGCAAACAATCCGGCACTCAACAAAGAGGTGGTTTTTGCAAAGCCGAGCACTCGGCAAACAATAACACTTTCGGCAAAGACCATGTTTGCCGGTGTCGCACACTCGCAAACCGAACACTCGGCAAAGGGCCATCGCCGTTAACGGCCGGCAGCCCAAGTTAACCCTTTGTCGAGTGTCTTCTCGACACTCTCGAAAGCGGTGATTTGCCGAGTGTTATTTTTGACACTCGGCAAACCATTTTTTTTTCACTTTTGACCTCCAAACTTTTTTGCGGTCCTCATACAATACACAGTACTCCATGTTTCAATGTGGCACATTTCTCGGACTTTTTCTATATTTCTTTAATTTATTTCATTTAATTGAATTTTCTTGGATAATTCAAATTATAACCGCTAGTCATTCGAATAATAAAAAAATGAATGGAAAAATGATATTCATGTTATTTAGTATAATGTGAGGCCATATCTAGAAACATACCACCAATTTCGAACATCTTGTTCATGAAACATGACCACAAACTTACTTGGTCGAGTTGTTTTAAATTCTATAAAAAGCAAGCGAAGTTTAAAATCGATGAAACTTGTCAAGATGTCATGATATCATATATCAAGAAGTTTACATGATGATATCATAAAGAATTTGAGAAGGTTTTCGCATTTGAGAAGGTTTCGCATTTTCATCTTGACAAGTTGCACGTCTGATGAATTTAAAAACAACTCAATCAAAGTTCGTTTCATGATTTTCGTGAAGAAGATGTTCAAATTAGTGGTCTGCATCGATACGGGTCTCACATTATACTAAATAACATGAATATCATTTTCTCATTCATTTTTTTACATTATTCAATGACTAGCGCTTATAATTTAAATTATCCAAGAAAATTCAATTAAATGAAATAAATTAAAGAAATATAGAAAAAGTCCGAGAAATGTGCCACATTGGAACATGAAGTACCAGGTATTGTATGAGGACTATAGAAAAAGTTTGGAGGCAGGAAGAAAAAACAAATCAATATTGATGTGTTTTGTTAAGTCTTAAACCCACTTCTTAACATGTCCTAACACCAAAAGCGTTACAATATGTAACAATTTAGTGCTATAGGTAGCCTATAAAATGATGAGATGAACACAGGCATGAACACGCTCACTTGGTATGGTAGCGTTGGCCGTTGGCTCTAGATGTCAGTGAACCAAAGAGAAAGAAAGGGGGTTGAGAAAAAATATTGTTGGTTTTTTTTATTGAGAGGGAAGGTTTCGAGGGATTGTGATTTTTTAGAAAGGGAATTGCAGTTGCTCAATCAAGTGAGGATGCTCTTAGCTTATTAATAATAGGTAACATTTTTTATCAGTAATTGTAATTACATGATTACAAGAATGGTTGCCCATGACGTCGGCAGCGAGAGCAAGCACCGACTCAAAACCTTTTGTGACGTCGTGCTTTTCGTCCTCACGCCCGCGTCATCAGTCGGCAGATCGGTCGGTTTTGAGGGTGTGTTTAGTTGGGGGTTCAATTTTTTTTTTACATCGGATGTGTCGGAAGGATGTTGGGAGAGATTTTTGGATACTAATAAAAAAACAAATTACATAACCCATCAGGAAACCGCGAAACGAATCTAATGATAATATTAATCTGTCATTAGCACATATGGGTTACTGTAGCACTTAAGGCTTTTCAGGGACTAATTAGACTTAAAAGATTCGTCTCGCGATTTTGTCGAGAACTGTGCAATTAGTTTTTTTTCGTCTACATTTAGTATTCCATGCATGTGTCCAAACATGCTATTTTACTGTAGGAGGAAAAAAAAAATGAAAACTAAGGCCGCGTTTAGTTGCTGGCCGAAGTTGGCGCCGCCGAAAAGAGAGGTCACTGTAGCGCACTGTAGCGTTTTGTTTTTATTTGGTAATAATTATCCAATCGTTGACTAATTAGGCTTAAAACGTTCGTCTCGCAAAGTACAACCAAACTGTGCAATTAGTTTTTGATTTCGTCAATATTTAGTACTCCATACATGTACCGCAAATTTGATATGACGGGAATCTTCTTTTTATATAGTGCCAAATTTTGGATTTCGGTGGAACTAAACATGGCCTAAAGAAGGCCTGAGATGTGATTTGGGGATTCGAGTTGCACGAGCGGAAATTTCATTCTTATGCGTTCCATCCTGTTCTGGGTACTGGATCAGATTGGCGAGGTCGGGAGTGCAATCTCCAATACATCAAGATGCCGTCGCCTCCGGCACCGGGTGCCGAGGGGGATGCCGCTGCCAGCACAAGCAAGCGCCGCCGCAGCTCGGACCCCGGATGGGCGTCGCTGCCCGAAGATCTGGTCCGCCTGGTCGCGTCGCGGTTACTGCCCGCGGGCGACCTGCTGCTGGACTACGTCCGCTTCCGGGCCGTCTGCCGCGGCTGGCGGTCCGGCAAGGACTCCCCGCGCGGCCGCGGCGTGACGGACCCGCTGTTCCACCCGCGGCGCTGGATGATGCTCCCTGAGGGCCACGGCCTCTACCCCGGCCACGCCGGCCTGGGCGGCTACGCCAGTTTCCTCAGCCTCGACACGGGGCGCATGGTGCGCGGCCGGATCCCGCTCCTCCAGGACACTGCGCCATCGACTCCGTCGACGGCCTCCTGCTGCTGCTACGGGACCTGTACAACGACAGCGCCGTCCGCCTCCTCCACCCTTTCACCGGCGACGTCACCGAGCTACCACCGCTTGGCCCCCTCCTCCCGCAGCTGGGCACGGTGCTGCTTAGCTGCCCTGCGCCCTACAGGCTCAAAAAAAGCTCACGAACATGGCCTGTGCTGCTGCTTCCTTCGGCACTCGAGGAGGAGGAGGAGCCATCACCATCGTGCTTGCACTTCATCAGGTACACCGTGTGGCCTTCGCTTCTTCCCTGGACGAGCAATGGACTCTGGCAAGCTGGCCATTGCCATCATGCCACACACCTTTCGCGTTCAGAGGCAAGCTGTACATCCTGCATACTCCTAGTCAGTTCATGTGGCAAAATGTACACCAGGTTCTCCAGATTGATCCACCAGTTCAGGATGGGGCAACCTCATCAGGCTTTTCGCTGAAACCGCCCAGACTGATTGCCACAATCCCTGTATGCAATCTTCTACTGCCAATGTGTCTGGTGGAATCTGATTCGAACATCCTGCTGATTGGCCACAAGGATTCATCTATGTCGCGGATTTTGGTTTACAAACTTGCAGACCTTGTGCAGCAAAGGTTCCTCCCAATGAAAAGCATCGGAGACAATTGTTTGATTGTTGGAGAGAGGAGCATGAGTGTCTCCTCTAGGGTGCTGCCTACCGTTGAGGGTGACAGTGTTATTGTCATGGTCGGGCGCACGTATGTGAGAAGGCGTCGTGCCCGTGACGTGCGCCGCGCCCTTGAGCGAGTAGCAGCCATGCAGGAAGGTGCGCAGTCAGCCATGCAGGAAGATGCGCAGGGCACAAGCACCGCTGGTGGCTAGGAAGGAAAGTAGGATAGCTTTCTGTTATTTGTTCCTAAGATTGAGGAGATTGTTGCTCCTTTTAGTTGGGCCTTTGGCCATATAATATTGTAACCGCACACTGGAGAGGACAGAGAATTATCAGCCTATCATCTCCCTCTTTCTCTCTAAGCCGGCAACTAGGGGGTATAACCCAGTTGACGAAGGCGTCGACGGCGTGGGGGGTATAACCCTGCCGGCGACGACGGATCGCGACTACGAGCTCCGCAGTCGAGGTCCAGCCACCTTGGACATTACTGCCCTTGACAACCTGGTATCAGGAAGCCGCCGATCCTCATCTTCCCAGTCGTCCAGCGCCACCGCAGCCGCCACCAATCACCCCAGCCCACCACCATCACCACAATCTTCCACCGCATCAGCCCCCCCCCTTGCCCACCATGTCTGAGCCCACCATCGCCGACGTGGTCGAGATGTTGCAGGCCTTCAAGACAGAGATGTCCACCATGAAGAACGACATGGCCGCGCTCAAGGAGAAGTCGGCCTCGTCGTCGGACAGCGGCGGCGGCGGGGGCCGCCACGATGGGCCGCGCGATCTTGATCGCCCCCCGAAGTTCCAGAAATTGGACTTCCCCCGTTTCGACGGCAAGACCGATCCGATGCTCTTCATCAACAAATGCGAGTCCTACTTCCGGCAACAACGCACCATGGTGGAGGGCGATATGCGGATGGCGTCGTACAACTTGGAGGACGTCGCCCGACTCGGTTCATCCAACTTCTCGGAGAGGACGAGGGCACGCCGCCTTGGGGCCGTTTCAAGGACCTTCTCAACCTGCGGTTCGGGCCACCACTACGATCCGCGCCCCTATTCGAGTTGGCGGAGTGTCGGCGTACGGGCACCGTGGAGGAGTACTCAACCGGTTCGAGCTCTCCTACCCCTACCGCCGCTTGAGGAAGGCCAACGCGTGCAACTCTTCATCGGGGTCTCCTGCCGCCGCCGAAGCACCGCCGTCTCGCATCCACAACCCGAAGACGCTCGCGGCGGCCATGAGCCTCGCCCTGGTCGAGTTGATGGAGCTTGAGCGGGTGCCGCCGCTTCGCTTCGAGCCGCGCCCTTGCGCTGCTGCCGGCCCCGGCGATCCGCCAAGCGCCTTCGCCGTTCCAGCGGCACCCGTGCTACCGGCGCCCGCTGTCTAGGCCCTGCCGGCACCACCGATCCGAGGAGGAACAGCCAATCCGCGCGTGGCGTCTCTCGGCCGAGGAACAAGCGGAACAGCGTCGCCTTGGTCTCTGCTACAACCGCAATGAGCCAGCTGTACTCGAGGGGCCATAACCGCACCTACCGTCGTATCTTCTACATCGACGACGCGCCGAAATTGGACGAGGGCGCGCAGAAGAAAAGCCCCTTGTGTTTTCCTGCGCGCGTCGCAGGCGTTCCCGGCAGCAACACGATCCAGCTCCGGGTCTGAGTTGGCGCAGCCGACTTCATCGCGCTCATCGACACCGGCTCCACGCACAGCTTCATTGGGGAGGACGCCCCCCGTCGCGCTGGGGTCCCCATCGAACCGCGCCCTCGGCTGACGGCAACCGTGGCGAACGGCGAGCGTGTCTCCTGCCCGGGGGTGCTCCGCCACGCTCCAGTGCTCATCGATGGACTGGAGTTCCAGGTCGATCTGTTTATTATGCCCCTTGCAGGCTATGACGTGGTGTTGGGCACCAATTGGATGGCGCCATTGGGGGACATCGTGTGGAACCTGGCGGCTGGCACCATGGCGTTCCAGCGTGCGAGCAGGTCCGTTTGCTGGCACGGCATCGCCCCCGCGGCTCCTGCCTGTCTCCACGCTGCTGAGGCTGCGGACCCACTCCTCGACGCGCTCCTGGACGACTTCCACGACGTCTTCGCGCGCCGAAGTGGCTTTGCCTCGAGGCGGGGCGGACCCACCGCATCGTCGTACTCAAGCCCGGCGCGCGGCCCCGTGGCGGTCCGCCCGTCACCGTACCCGGCTGCACACAAAGATGAGTTAGAGAAGCGATGCGGCGCCATGATCGCCCAAAGGCATCGTCGGCGCAATGACTCCAGCGTTCTCCTCCCGGTCCTCCTCGTCAAGAAGCCGGATGGATCGTGGCGGTTCTGCGTCGACTACCGCGCGAGCTGAACAGCGGCGCTCACGGTGAAGGATCGTACCCCATCCCCGTCCGTCGGCGAGCCGCTTGATGAGCTCCATATTGCCCGGTTCTTCACCAAGCTCGACTTACGCTCCGGGTACCATCAGTGCGCATGAGGGGCGGAGGACATCCACAAGACGGCGTTCCGCACACACGACGGCCTCTATGAGTTCTTGGTGATGCCGTTCGGGCTGTGCAACGCCCCGACAACATTCCAGGCCCTCATGAACGATGTACTGCGCCCCTTCCTTCGCCGCTTTGTACTCGTTTTCTTTGATGATATATTGATCTACAGCAAGTCATGGGCGGACCACCTCCGACACCTCGCGCGGTCCTCGAGGGAGCTACGCCGCCATGTCCTCTTTGTCAAGCGCTCAAGTGTGCGTTGGGTGCCTTGATGCTCCTACCTCGCCACACGATCTCGGCGGCGGGTGTAGCCATGGACTCGGCCAAGGTACAGGCCATATACGATGGCCGGTGCCCCGCTCGGCGCAAGCGGTGCGGGCTTCCTCGGCTTGGCGGGCTACTACCGCAAGTTTATCCACAACTATGGCGCCTTGGCGGCACCACTCACCGGCCTGCTCAAGAAGGAGGGCTTCTCATGGAGCACGGAGGCGCGCGGCATTCGAGGACCTCAAGACCGCCGTGGATCGCAGCAAGTCTCCCCGCCATGCCCAACTTTGCCAAGCCGTTAAAGAGTCGAGTGTGGCGCGTCATCCCACGGCTTCGGGGCTGTGCTCATCCATCTGGGCACCGATCGCTTTTTTTGATTGGCGGTGGCACCATGACACCCGCTCTTTGCGCGACCTATGAGCGCGAGCTCATCGGTTTGGTCCAGCGGTGCGGCACCGGCGCCAGTATCTCCAGGACGCCGCTTGGCGCGTCAAGACGGACCACTACGGTCTCAAGTACCTGCTGGACCAGCGCCTACGCCACCATTCCGCAACATCATTGGGTTGGCAAGTCGCTTTGGGTTCGATTTCTCCGTCGAGTACAAGCGGCGCGCTAACGACTGTGGCGGACGCTACCTTGTCCAAAGCGGGACATCGAGGACGGGCGCTGCCGCTACTCTCTCGCCCCCGCTTGACTTCATCGACCGCTGCGCCAAGCCCAGCTCGATGACCGGCCCTCGCCGCCCTCCATGCCGAGATCATACCGGGTCTCGCGCCAGCGCCTGGATGCTCGTCGACGGCATGGTCCAATTCGCCGGCAGGTTGTACATCCCGCCCGCCTCCCGCTGCTCCGAGAAATCATGGGGCGGTCCATGAGGGCCACGAGAGGCATCCAGCGCACCTTGCACCGGCTACGGCGCGACTTCCACTTCCCCAACATGAAGCAAATGGTGCGACATGGTGCGCGTGTCGCCGTGTGTCGCAGTACAAGTCGAGCATCTTCAACCGCGGCCTGCTCCTTCCTCTGCCGCATGCCACAAGGTGTCTGGACGGACATCGCGTTTGATTTTGTGGAGGCCCTTCCTCGCGTCCGTGGCAAGTCGGTGATCCTCACCGTGGTGGATCGGTTCAGCAAGTACTGCCATTTCATCCCTTTGGCGCACCCGTACTCCGCTGAATCCGTCGCCCAAGCTTTCTTCGCCGACATCGTTCGTCTACACGGCGTCCCTCAGTCCATCGTCTCTGATAGGGACACGGTCTTCACATCCTCCTTTTGGCAAGAGCTCATGCGACTGATGGGCACCAAGCTACACATGATGACAGTGTTCCACCCCTAGTCAGATGGGCAGTCCGAGTCGGCCAATCGCGTCATCATCATGTACCTGCGGTGCTTGACCGGGGATCGGCCACGACAATGGGTCCGGTGGCTGCCTTGGGCAGAGTACCTCTTCAATACGGCGTACCAGTCATCCCTACGGGACACTCCCTTCCGCGTGGTGTACGGGCGCGACCCGCCCTCGATCAGATCATACGAGCCGGGCGACACCAGGGTGCAGGCGGTCGCCAAGACCATGGAGGAGTGCGAGGAGTTCCTGGCCGACGTCCGCTACCGCCTGGAGCAGGCGCAGGCCACGCAGAAGCTGTACTACGACCGCAACCACCGCCCAGTCAGTTACCAGGTCGGTGATTGGGCTCTACTTCGTCTCCGGCAACGCGCGGCGTCCTCGCTGCCTCAAGCTATGGGCGGCAAGCTCAAGCCTCGTTTCGTCAGGCCGTACCGCGTCATTGAGCTCATCAACGATGTCGCCGTCCGTCTTGATCTCCCGGCGGGCGCTCGTATCCATGACGTCTTCCATGTGGGCCTCCTAAAAAAGTTCCAAGGAGCTCCACCAGCTGAGACACCGCCGTTACCACCGCTCCGTCATGGCGCCATCGAGCCGGAGCCTGAGCGCGCGGTGCGCTACTGTCTCGCCCGCGGCGTTCCGCAGGTGCTCATCAAGTGGAAAGACTGTTCAACGGCGTCGTCTACTTGGGAGGACACCGACACGTTCCGCACCAGGTTCCCCTCCTTCCAGCTCGCGGACGAGCTGACTCTCGACGCAGAGGGAGATGTCATGGTCGGGCGCACGTATGTGAGAAGGCGTCGTGCCCGTGACGTGCGCCGCGCCCTTGAGCGAGTAGCAGCCATGCAGGAAGGTGCGCAGTCAGCCATGCAGGAAGATGCGCAGGGCACAAGCACCGCTGGTGGCTAGGAAGGAAAGTAGGATAGCTTTCTGTTATTTGTTCCTAAGATTGAGGAGATTGTTGCTCCTTTTAGTTGGGCCTTTGGCCATATAATATTGTAACCGCACACTGGAGAGGACAGAGAATTATCAGCCTATCATCTCCCTCTTTCTCTCTAAGCCGGCAACTAGGGGGTATAACCCAGTTGACGAAGGCGTCGACGGCGTGGGGGGTATAACCCTGCCGGCGACGACGGATCGCGACTACGAGCTCCGCAGTCGAGGTCCAGCCACCTTGGACATTACTGCCCTTGACAGTTATCCATATACGTTCAAGTTCAGTACAACCAGCCTATGTTGCAGAATACCATCTCATCAGTAGTGACACCGTGTCACCGGCGATTGATGATTGCAGCCTGTATGGCCGTGCACAGGGACCTAGCGACCTTGTTCACTATCTCTTCAGCTGCCGCACCCGTAGCTTATGATATGTAGATCAGTAGATGTATTTATTTTTTTTATATTTTTTTGCAACGTTATCCTTCCTACTGTCATTTGTTTCTGTTTAGGCTTAGCTATTAATTATAATTTTCATGTGTCTTGTAGGAACAGAGGAATAGTATACAGAAAGAAGACACAAGGTGGGTTCCGTACGAGGTGAAGAGCATGTGCCAGGATGAGGTAACTCTCCTACATCGCTTGTGAGTTGTTTCCTTTACAATACGATTGTACGACAATGCACAAACAAGTTTTGGGCACAAAACTTTTTAATCCTGCCTAGCTGATGTTGTTCCACAACCCCAATCAGTCAATCCTCATGGTAAAAAAGATCTGTTATCCATCAACGCCAATCAACAGATCCTTCCGCAGATCTACAAAAAATGCAAATTTCTGATATGTTAGTTCTCATGACACTTGCAATCCCTTCTTTCAAACAATAATCCAGTTTGAAAAAGAAAATTGTACTCAACCAATTAACTGACAATGCATACTTATATATGCTTGGGTGCTTTTTGGCGGTCATGCTATGTTATCTTTAGTTGTGAGTTGAAATTTGCTTCATCGCTTATACATATAACATTCTTTGGATCACACTTAAGGCCTATTTTTGAAGGGGGGGATTGGGATCCAAATCCTTTGTTTATACTTCAAAATCGGAGTTAATCCTAAAGATTCATGGCATAATCCCTCTCTTCCTAAAGCCTTTACATGCTACTTCCTGTATCAGCATCTCCAGAGTACTATGGTAGTCGGAGATATATGTCAAGCAATATATTATCCTCAGTTGATGAACATTTTCCATTAGACTGCACATAAAACACTTATATTTAGGATTTAAAAATGTTTCAATTCATATCATAGGGACTGTTTTGTTTTTCAGGGCCAGGACATTTTTTCTGTTGCTCTGGTGCTCTTTCTTCTTCTTCTTCTTCTTCTTCTTCTTCCCTTTTTTTGTTTTTTATATTATATTTGTTTATATGGTCGTTGTTTCCTCTGTAGAAATTTATTAATTTTTACTTGACTTTTAGATTGGAGTTGTTTATTCTTCATATGTTTAGATAATAAGCTATATGCTGTAATAACTGACAAGATGAATCAATATGCCACAAATATGTGATAAAAGGGGACTTGCATATATTAGTTTGTCTTCCTCGAAAATCCACTAATAACAGGAACCTAGCGGACATTGTGTATCTGCAAGCATCCACTAATACTTTCTCTATTCTAAATTATAAGATGTTTTATCTTTTCTAGGTATATAACTTTTGTTATATACTTAGATATGCACTATGTCTAGATATATACTGATGAGGATGTGTTTGGTTTGAGGACAAGAGTGAATGGGATATGGCCATCCATGGATTTCGGGATATGGATATTCATGTTGTCTGTTTGGTTAGATGGATGGGACGAGCTATTTTTCTGTTTGGTTAGATGGATGAGATTGCATGTGATGCGCATACTTGACTAATTATATCTATTGTTTAAAAATAATAACAACTAATTATACCCTAATAAATATGCATCGACACTAATCTTGTCATTATAATCACTAATTAAAAAATAAAATATGTTAATTAGCATCTCAATGTTGCAAGGGACGGGTCATGGCTCATGAGGGGTGGGGACCAGGAGCACAGCCTTGACGACGGCTTAACCGGCGCGACAGGGGATGGAGCACGGTGCACCGTGTGTGCATGACTCGACGTGGGATGGGGGCACCGCGACGCGAGGCGGCTTGGGGCGGCGCGACGCGAGTGAGCGCCACAACGAGCGGTTGCGAGGAGTTGAGGATTTCGTCCGGATGTCGCAATGTAGATGGAGTAGATAGAAGAGAGAACATAGATGGGTCTGTTGGGCTGGTTGCTGTGCTAGAGCGAGCACGAGCATAAGCGTCTGATTTTTTTAAGATTGCGGACGTATGTTCTTTAGCATTACCCGTATATTCAATGGTATATTGATTTAATTGGTGCACCAGTCCAAGCCCAATGAGAAAATCGCCTAATCAGATGCTCGGCACATTCTTGAATTTCATTGGGCCCAAAGAGCCAGTCGCCACCGCCGCCGCTCCCCCTAACTCGTCGTCTCACACCGCCCACGCCATACCACCTGTGACCCTCGACCAGCGTCGCGTCACGGGCGCCCTCGCCTATACCACCTCCCCTCGTGCACCGACCCATCGGAAAGATAGCAAATTTTGCCTGCGCGGCTTTTCGGCCGAAGGTTTCTACATTGGGTTATTTGGATTCTTGCCATTATAATTTCTCAAGTTTTGAAGAACGCCATTACTATTCGTCTTATTGGAAATTTGCCATTACTATTCTGCTTTCCCCTCACTCTTTCCCTTTTCTACATCTGGGCGTAGCTAGGCCCACTGCAGGTGTCGTATTTCGTATGTGGCCATATTGCCCTCAGACGAGAGGATAAGGCGAGCGATCATTGCCAGATGCCTTGGCAGCGTGCCGCCACTGAATTCCCACAACTCTGCCGCCTGCGTACACTTTCTGCTTCATCCGTCCATCCCAGCGTAGGCATTGCCATCCCACAACCGTCGGCTTGGTTCGTTCACGGCGCGCTCCGGTCTCGGGCTCTCCGCACCGCCGCCAGCGAACCAACCACCGACTCCTCCACCGCCACCGCTCGGTGCCGCGCCCGCCACCGGCGACAGACGACAGACTATCCGCGTTCTCGGCATGGCGCGCGGTCGGTGTCGGACTACGAGAGGCGGTGGGGTCTCCATCACCCGCAGCCTCTCCTCGCCGAGGCCACAGGCGGCTGCAGCGTCCACGGGCGAACGAGTTGGCGGAGCACCCGAGCCCGTCATTCTTCTGGACCCGATTCGAGAGACATGCTGGTGCGCATCACCTTTCGCGGCCGCCATATCTCCTTCCTCCTCGCGCTCTCCTCCTCCGCCTCCTCGGGCACCGCCCGGCGCTTCGCCGCCTTCGTCGAGCCCGCTCGTCCTCTTCTCATCCTCGTCGTGAAACGTGACCGTCGGGGTGTGGCGAGAGGCCAGCGCGAGCCGGCGCCGGACGCAGCTGCGGAGATCCAGCCCTACCACGCAGCGGTCCTTCGCGACGGCGGCCGTGGGTCCCAGCGAACAGCGCGAGACCTTGTCCCGGCGACGTCGTGCAGCTCCACGTCGGGGATAAGGTGCCCCGCCGACATGCGCGTCGCGAGCCTGCTCCACCTCCACGCTCCACCTCGAGCAAGGGTCGGCCGGCCGGGGAGACGGCGTCCGTCAACAAGACCTCCCTGCGTTGCGGTGGAGACACCGATATAAGGCTAAGGAGTGCATGGTGTTTGCCGGCACCACCGTCGTCAACGGCGCCGCGCGCTCTGCATCGTCGCAGCGCCTTTGGGATGCCCACGGAGATCGGGCGCCATCCACGCGCAGATCCGCCAGGCACCGTAGGAGGACGACGACACGCCGCTCAAGAAGAAGCTCAATGAGTTCGGGGAGGCTCTCACCAAGATCATCGCCCTCATCTACGTGCTCGTCTGGCTCATCAACGTCAAGTACTTCCTCACCTTCGACCTCCAGGGGATGGGTGCCCAGGAACGTCAGCTTCTCCTTCCGAGAAGTGCACCTACTACTTTGAGATCGCCGTCGCTACCGCCGTCGCCGCCATACACGAGGGCTTGCCGCCGTCATCACCACCTGCCTCGCGCTCGGGACCAGGAAGATGGCTGCCAAGAATGCGCTTCGTCAGGAAGCTGCCTAAGCGTCGAGACCTCGGCTGCACCACCTCGTCTGAGGGGCAATCACGGGCACATCACGGAAATCTGGCATCTGCGGTGGGCCTAGCTACGCTCCAGGCGTAGAAAATGGCAAGGGTGAGGAGGAAGCAGAATGGCAAGTTTTCAATAAGACAAATCGTAATGTCGTTATTCAAAACTTAACAAATTGTAATGGCAAACCCTTCTAAATTTCCCTCTCCAAATAAGATCGGAAAAAGGGCGCGCATTGCACAATCTGGCGGAAAGGAAAGCACGCCTGCCATCAACAACAAAATCTTCGCTCCCCTTCCCCTCTTTCCTCTCATTCCTCCCTCCTCCATGGACCAGGAACGCACGCCGCCGTCGACGAAGAGGGCAAGGAGCTCGCCTCAGCAAGCCGGCGCCGGCGCCGGCGCGGAAGACCGGCTCGGCGGGCTCGACGACGCCACCCTCCACGCCATCCTCGTCCGCTTGCCGCTCCGCGACGGGGCGGCCACGGTCGTGCTCTCCCGCCGCTGGCCCCGCGTCTTCGCCACGCTCCCGCGCCTCGTCCTCCGCCCCGCCACCTTCAACCGCCGCGGCTTCCCCGACGAGGGCGACGAGGACCGCTGCGAGGACCAGACACGCTGGATGCGCGCCCTCCGCTGCGTCCTCGACCGCCGCGCCGCGCCGGTCGCGGCTTTCGAGATCGACTGCAGATTCATGGGCCTCTACGGCGAGTGGTTTTCCTGGGTCTTCCGCGAGCTCTGCGGGAGCGGCGGGCTCCTGGAACTCAGCATCGCCAACACTGACTACAAAGAGTGCTACGCGCTGCCCGACGCTGTGTACACCTGCACGACGCTCACCTCGCTGGACCTCTACAATTGCCGGCTCCAGGTGCCGAGCAGGGCCACTGCGGTGGCCCTGCGCGCCCTGATCGCTCCGCCTCCGCAACGTGGTCGCGAGGGACAGCGACATCCGTCTCATCATCTCCCGGTGCTCGGCCATAGAGCGTCTGGAGATCCATGACATCCACATGGCGCGAAACATCGTCATACGCGCGCCGTGCCTCAAGAAGTTAGACATCTACTCGTATCGCCCGCTCTGCATCTCCCCGAAGAAGCAAAGGCACAGCCACTGAATATGGTGAGGCTGAGCCTCTCCTACAGCTACCCTGAGCATTCTTGGAGCCTCCACGACACCATGGACACCAACAGGGAGTACTCCATTCATGAAATCGAGGAGATGCTTGATTACAAGAAGATGGCTGAGAGGGATTACAAGCAGACGGATGAGATCAAGAACATGGAAACATTCCTCACTGCACTCAGCTGCACCAAGACGCTCCAGTTGCACTTATCGACTGAATACTCCCAGGTTAGTTTGTTTTGGCTCAGTGTGCATCTTTTTGGCTCGCTAACTTCTCACATCATTTAGTGTGGTCATGTTAAATTGCAAGGTGAAAAATTTTATACTTACATCACAGCTTCCATGATGATGAGATAAAAAAACAAGTCTTTCATCATACTCTATTGCTTGTCATAATTCCTCCATTTTTCTTGCAATGATAGCATATCTCACTTCATTTTAATGTGTGCTACTGTCATGCATCCTTCGCTATTGGCGCTTGGTAGTTCAAGGTTGTCCCATCTCACCACAAAACTATTGTGGATAACTCAAGGATGGTACTAGTTAATGTTGGAATAACATACACTTAGAGCAACTCCAACAGCTCGGCTATTCTTGTGTTGGATGCTATTTTAGAATTTGCATAGTAAAATTAGGCTCCAACAGGACACTGTTATCTGGCTTTGTAAAATAGGAAGCTGGCTATCCCTTGATTTTAGGTAGCCATATAAAGCCAACCACGGATGCTAGCTATCTGAAAGATGAGAAATAACAAGCCTGTTGTAGACCTCTTCTTTTTAATGAGTTTTCTATTTTACAAAATGGCTAAACTATATAATTTGGCTACTAATTTTAACCCAGCTGTTGGAGTTGCTCTTACAATCTATATACTGGTGTAGAAGAGAAGAGATGACATATCTACCAGTACCAGATTTGAGCCCTGAATTGTTGTAATTGTTACTTGCTCATCAATGGCTCATTACAATGAAAATCTTTTAGTTGATCAAGGGCAGGCTGCTATCCAGTAAAATCTAATCTTGTCACATATATATCAAGGTATATAGATTTGAGAAATATATGGGAGACACATCTTTTTGATATGATAATTCAGAATAATTTACTTAAGATTCCCCTTTTTGGTATAAGAGGTATGTTGAAGCACTTCCTGTTGGAATTTCATCGTGCATAAGCCATTGGCTTGGACTTGTTTGTTGTTGCTTGTGATCAGTCCTACTATGGAGAAGAACGTGGTGGTAGTTGTGTTGGTGAGTCTAGCATCCCACCAGATCATCAGTGTATGTTCACTGTATTTATTACTTGAGGATTGGTATTTCTTGCAGATGATATATCTTTTTCCAGAGAATATCTAACTTTTAAGTTTAGAAATTAGTCCTCAGCGTATATTCATGTATAGTCCATATTTGGCTAGTACAGTATCATGTAAAATATAGTACATGCAGGGCGTCTGGCTTTGCTGTTTCTATTCTCATATAATAAAATTCGAGTTTTGATTTTTTCTTCTTCTATGCAGTTTGTAATAATCCTAGCAATGTCCAATGTTTAGGCTAGTCTATCTCTGTTCTAGGACTAACACTTGATTCAGTTCACATGACAAGAATTGAGTAGTGCAATAAAGCATAGTCATTGGAAACCTATTCAAATGATCTTTTTCACAATACAAAGTAGTTTACAGAAGGTGCAAACTTTCATCTATTTGTGTTTTGATTAGGTTTTGAGCATGGCCAAGGCTTCAACATTGATGAGTTTGCCAAAGAAAAAAAAGTACCTACTTGGCTTGAAATCACTCAGCCTTACTCTGGATCACAATCATGAAACTCTTGCTTCCTTAGTTTCATGCTTGCTGTACAGCTCCCCCAACCTCAAGGATCTCAGAATCATTGTAAGTCCTAGACAGCTGATGCTTTCCATTCTGTTATATTTCCTGTTAACTGCTCGTAAAATAGTTCACCTTTGTGTTATCAGGAGCTTCGGCATCCGGGAAGCCCTGTGCCCTTAGCTGCGGAGGTTTGGGAGAAGCAGATAACTGCAGACGGATTTCTGTATCACCTGTCAAGTGTCACCTTCTACACTGATTCGCTCTTGGAAGGCCATCCTTGTGGGGGCATTTGCAAGTTCCTGGTGATGAACGCGAGGGTCCTCAAAAGAATGAGCATCGTGTACCATCATTCGCAGGTCAAGCCAGAGCATGCAGCCAAGCTTGAGGCAGACCGAAGGGAACTCCGTCTCTGGCCCAGGGCTTCTGCGGATGTGCTGCTGGAGTTGACTCCTGTGGATCGTTTCCCATGGTTCTGAGGGGCGAGTCGCTGATCCATTACTCACATGCAAATCCTGCTGCTTTTGTTCTACATGTTCTATGCCTCTCATGAACTCTGTTCCATTACTCACTTGCAAATCCTGGAGCTTTTGTTCTTCATGTGCTATGCCTCTCATGAACTCTGTTTTACTCTAAAAATGTAAACACCACATGCTAGGCACCATAAGTTGTTTGTGGGGATGGATTGGAAGTCTGAATCTGCACTTTGGTGCAAGTTATATTGCCCTTGTTAGTAGTACACTAGTACCAGTACTTGTTAGTATCACCTATCAGATTCCGTAGATCAGGCTCTTTTCTTTTTTTTTGAATGGACAATCGGTTTGCCTTTGACCAACCAGTATCAACAAAATGATATAATAAGGTGCTCGAGGGTTGTTTTGCAAAATATTTTGTTTTTGGAAATCCATGAGGTGTATAGATGTAGCCAATCTTGTTCTTTTGGAAGCCATGTATTGCTAGAAAAAAAAGCATTTTATGGTTTTACACTTTAACCATGGGCCCTTTTCTTTCTAAATTGTGTTTTTTCATGTCTTTAGGTTCTAAAACTACGGTCTCTTAACATAAAAATTTCTTAAAACTATGACCTCCAAATAAGTCTTAATAAGAGTAATCTACAGCCAACGCAACTCTCCTCTGCATTTTCCATCATCTTCAGATTCGTGGCTGTCACCAGCATCCCTCTCCTGCTCAACTACAACTAGAAGGGTTTTAGTGGCGGAGCTCCATTAAGCAAGAGAAGGAGAGCTGTGATTTAGGGTCTGTTTGGCATGACTCCAACTCCAGATAGAGCAGCTCCACTCCAGAAATCCAGGTGGAGCTGGCTCTAAGTGGAGTTGGAGCTGTTTGACGGGGGTGTTTGGCAAGAAGGGTACTCTCAACTCCAGAATGGTGTTTTATCGGTGTGGATTGCCCACTTTGCCCTTGGTTGACATGAGTGTACTTCAATGATGCGTCCAGCAGCAAAACAAGCATGTGAATTAAATTAAAGTACCAACATATTACAAGATAATCATGTCCAACCAAATAATCCGAGATACAAGTCCATAGTTTGAAAATATGATTACATTAATTCCAACCTAATGCGATACAAGTCCATAGTTTGAAAATATGATTGCATTAATTCCAAGCTAATGTAACGGATGTAGCCAAAGAAAGTATCAAAATGAGTCCATAGTCACAAAGCTTGATTCAAAGTGGATCCATCAGAGGCATGTTGAGGCGCTTGACATATTTGTTGTACCTTTACAGGATAGTCAGCACATAGTTGGGATCTCGATCAAAATTAGCAAAGTCCATCCCCACTAGCATGCTCACTATGAAATTGTGGAGCATGGTAGCAACTAACCTTCTTTTGTGTGAGCATGGAATAGGAAGGCATCTTATAAAGAATTTGCCACTTCATCTTTAACACTCCAAATGAACATTCAATAACATTATGAATAGATGAATGAATCCGGTTGAACTTCTCTTTTGAAGTATATGGTTCCATACCTCAATGCCACTCAATTAAATGATACCTTTCACCTTTGTTTGGAGCTAGGTAACACGGACGATTAGGATAGCCAGCGTCCACAACATAGTACTTGCCTGCACATATGAAAAAAATAGCATAAGAATTTGAGGTACAGTACACTAGAATTTGAGGTACAGTACACTAGAATTTGCAGCTCTCTTGCCACTGCTAGGGAAGGTGTAACCTCATCTACCTCCTCACCTTATATCGCACCTTGTGCTGCACCTTCTTCATCTTGGGCTGGTTCTTGTGTAGCACCTTCAAAGTGTAGGTGCTTTGCAGCCATTGCACATTAGGCGGCTGGGGGACCAATGGTCAAGCACCAACATTAACGATGCCTTGAAAACAAGTCGTCAACTCATCTTCATTTGAAGGGATGCTTCTTAAACTTCCATGCGACTGGAATGTCCGAAAATATGCAAGATAGCAACACATATTAGTACAAATAATAACAGCAACTAATTAATAAATAGGTAGCATTACGTACATATAACACTTACAGCTCTAGCTTTCTTCCACCATTCATCGTCCATATCAATAGTGCCATTATTCCAACCCATTCTGTTTGCCTCATCTTTAGCTTTTCCATGCCTTGAAATCTTCCTTCAATTTATCCCACTTGTTCTTGATTTGCCCTTGGTTAATTCAATACCGTCCTATCTTTGAATCCTTTTTCAACATGACATAACTAACTTGAATTCAAGAATGTATTTGGCCTATTTCCTTTCTCAACTTGTTCGGCCATCAAACCACATAGGATCCGAGTGTTCTCTACGTTCCAATCAATTTAAGCATCTATACCAACTCAACACAAGCATTGAACATGCACAGTTCGCTAACATGAACTCTGAGCAACTAATTCACTACCAAAATTTTAGTAATGCAGGGGCAACTCTGAGCATCTATACCAAATCACCAAATCACGCATTCTTCACAAATCACGACGCATACAAATGGGGATGGAATACCTTGCACGGTTGGGGAGCTTGCGGGTCTTCACTTTGCAGTTGGGGAGCTTGCCACGGTTCCGGTGCGGAGCAAGTCGTCGAGGCGACGGCCCGTCGATCGTGGGATGCCCGCTGGCCGTCGATGAGGAAGGCGCCCTTCTTCTCGTCTAGGGTTAGGGTTGGGGAGTGGGCGTGGGGAAGGAGGCACGGGGAAGGAGGATAGGCGGAGGAAGGGGAGGCGTGGGGCGGCGCCGCCCGATGTGGCGAGGGCGGGGTGGCCTCATGGGATAATGGATGAAATGGACGGAAAGAAAGAAAGAAAAGCAGTTGAGCTGGAGTGTAATCGATGGCAAGGTGGGTAATTTCCTTCAAACTCCATGTCAGGTCTATTTTAGAGAGTTCTAGAAATTTGAAGGAAGGTGCTCCAAGAAAATGAACTAGAGCTCTAATAACTCCATGGAGTTGTTTGCTCAACTTTTTTGGAGTTAGGGTGTTTTAGCTAGCTCTAGTCGGCTCTAGCACAGAGTTGGCTCTGACCATGCCAAACAGACCCTTAGGGTGAGTGAGGATGTTGGCGACAATGGGGATCGTTTGTTGCTCCCTCGGGTGCAGTGCCTCACCTCGCCATGAGTGTGTGAGTTTGCGACGAGATAACTTTGGGAGGCTATCAGGCTAACATACAACGTGTCAAAGGAGAGGGATATTTATAGCCGTTGCTATCTCGCTTTAGTTTTTATTTCTTCTCTATAATACTAGATATGTTGTGTGGCATTTGTCAGACCTTACTTTGGCCTGTTTGGATCCAAGGGGCTAAAGATTAGTCCTTCTCTTTTAGCCATCTTTTAGCCTTGGGGATCCAAAGCAGGAGGGCTAAAAGGAGAGGTGATCTTTATACCTCTATTAGCCCATTAGCCCTTGCAAGGTAGGTTAAAGGGGCTCAAAGTGTTAACACGTGACTTTACTCTCTTTCTCTCTGCTCTCTCTTTCATTTCTTAGTCACCTTTTAGTCATGTATCAAACAGCCCAAAAAGCTAAACTTTTGCCCTTCATTGCGAAGGCTAATCTTTAGTTCTAGGCTAAACTTTAGCCAAGGGATTCCAAACATGGCCATTCTAAATCTGAAGTGCCTATGCAATAATAGGGGTTAGGTTGCTACCCATCGCCTTTATTGTCTTAAGAGCAATTACAGTTAGGACCTAGTATGACTTTTGACTTCAATGCTAGAAGAGATGAATGAGAACTCATGGTCATGGGTTGTGTTTATATGAATTGTACAGTGGAAACTTGAGTGGGTTGTTTGTTAGCAGCTAGGCCAAAGCGGAAAAGATGCACGTTAATTTACCTTTTTAACGTAGAGGCCATTTCTCCTTTGTTCTTGGATCTAAAATTGAAAATGAACTTCAAAATTAGTAATTTGATATGTCTGATTCTTAAGGCCGTCCAAAAATACCCGTCTTCAATTAGGCTAGACCAATGTACCATCATAGTTATTTTTTTATTGTGCGACAGTACTTTGATTTGGATTATGTTGATTAAATGGGGAAGCAAAAGATTTGACATTTTCTTTTGCCATCTAATGGAATCTATGTGTGTTTCAATATATATACACACCTACTAAATGCCATATATAAACTTAAACCACTAAATTCCAAGGTAATAAAGAAGTGTTCTATGAGGTCTTCTTATGTTGATTACATTACCTACCCAAATTACTAGGTCAATGAAAATGTGACCAACCAAAGGAGAACAAGTCGGTTTTTCATTAAGAGAAAAATATATACTCAACTTTGAGTTGAAGAGAATTCAAATCTAAGTGGTGTTAGAGCGTGATCACATCTTTCACCCAACTGTTTGGACCCAGGAGCTAATAATAGTTAGTTGCCAACAATTAGTTCCTTGTATTCAAATAGGTCTAAATAATAATTTAGTTAATTGTTAGTTGAACACCTAGTAACAACTATTTTATTAATTAGTTGGATCAAACTAGCTAATAATAACTAATATTAGTTATGAATTATTAGATAGCTAATTATTAAGCGGCATCCAAACAGGCCATAGTCTCGGTAGGCTGCCAAACACCAGTTGAAAGTCGTACATCTCACAAACAAGGGAATTACTAGCTCCGGACGTGCAGACGAGGCAGCTGCAGGCTATTGCTGCGCTTCTGCGCTAGGCGGCGCGCGGCCGGTATGCAACGCTCCATCCTCCGCTTCCCACGCATGCATGGCGCAATAAAGCGAATCACGTTACCAATAATATGCACAACACCGATCTACTTTTAAAACATCCGGATAAAAACTTTTGCAACATGCATCGAAGAAAGATGAAACACTTAAAACATGCATCTAGAACACTTGCGAAAACACATAAAAACACTTGAAAAGCCATTGCAAAACACACTTGCAAACATATGTGTGAAACATCATAGCGTCCAAATAAAACACTTGCATCATAAATGCGAAAAAATAGATAAAACATTTAAAACAGACGTTTGCAACATACATGTATAGCCATTGCAACATGTGCAATATCCTGATCTACTTTTGTAACATCTATACTGAAACATTTGCAACGTACCTCTTAAACATCTGCAATAATTGAAACATATGTTTTGCAACATAGAGGAAGAGAACGAGGTCGGTCGATTCCGGCCGTCGAGGTGGAGCCCGGTGGCGTCTTGAGCACCACCAAAGACCTTGCGCTGCGCTCGTGGTGCCCTTGGCTCGGCTAGAGAGCGACACGAGGCGCTCAAACACACTGCACTCATTTGCCATCGGCGAGAAGCGATGGCGACGCTTATCCGGCATTTGTTGGGTTAGGGAAGAGGCGAGGAGGCTTTGCTTGAACTAAGGAAGGAGGCAGCATGGTCGGCTTGGGTGGAGAAAAGGAAGCAATGGTGGCGGTGCGGGGCTCTCTGCTTCCAGCGGACACGAGTGACACGGAGATGGGATGGGCGAGAGCAGAGGAGATAGAGAGACGGCGAGGCAAAGTGGAAGCCGTGTCGAACCGGCATAAGCGGATTTACACCCGGGTCCGAGTATTTCCACGCAAATAAAGAGCCACGCAGTAGCGCGGGAGATTCAAGTTGAAGTTCTATTTGAGTTTGAGACACTCCCGAGTGTCTTTCTCAAAAAAAAAAAACAAAAAAGAGAGATGAAGTTCTAATTGGCATCGCGTTAGACAAGAAAGCATTACGAGCCCACAAAGCCCGACAGGCCCAACTGAAGGGGAATCAGTTTCCAACTGCTCTTATCCGCCTCGACGCTTCCCTCTCCTCCGCAGAACACACTCCCGTCTCGTCTGCTGCCCAACCCCCACAATGGAGGCCACCACAGCGCTCGCGCTCTCCTCGACGCTCGCCACCGCACGCCGCTCGCCGGAGAAGGCGGCCACTGCATCCCTCCGCCTCCGCCGCTTCTCCGCTACCACCTCGCTCCACCTGCGCTCTGCCCGGAGCCCAGCGCTTCGCTCCCACCGTCACCCTTCCAGGTCCCGCTTCAGTACCCTTCGCCGCTCGGCCTTTCGTTTCTTCCGTTCCCTCGACGAGAGTTTCGCGTTCTGGGCTTAGAATAGATTTAGCATGTTTTTCTGTGTGACATCAGGGATGGAGGCGGCGTGGGAGGGCAGGCGGGCTGGTTGTTCAGGCGGAGATGTTCGGCCAGCTCACCACCGGCCTCGAGTCCGCCTGGAACAAGCTGAGGGAGTCGGTGAGCGTTGTTGTTGCTTCCATAGATATAACTCTTGTCACATCTGATGCTCCAGCCTAATTTTTTTTTGCCCCTAATTCACAAAAAAAGTAGATACAGCTCGGAATTTTAGTACGAGTAAATATGTCGTGTACCAAATTATGTTTACTAATGTCTTTCTATTTACGATGTATCGTAACAGGTATACAATATAATGCAATAATTGTGTGAATTTGTGATATTCTCTATTGGCTATTTTTTTCAAATGCTTGTTCTATCCATAAACATGATCGCTACATGTCTCTCGGCATCGGTTTTTGTTATATATATAAAACTACTCGGCAACCATTGGCCAAACTTTTTCGGAAATAGTTGATGGCACTGTTGCCTGTAGTTTCATTACAAGGCCTCCCTCACTGATCACTGATTCAAGATGTATGGCCTATCCAGTCTTATTAATTTGGGCAGATATCAAAATCGTCTTTTTTTTGCAACAAAAGAGGAAACCGTTGAGTGTACCAAAGTTATTCATGGACAACTTGTGTTTGATTCTACTATGAGATTTTCAGTTGATTTGCTCTTACATTGCATTTTTCATTTATGTCTGCATCCTCTATAACCCAGCTCAGTTTTTCATTAAGCAATATGTTTTTTGTGGTTCAAGATGTATTGACAAAGGAAAACATAGCTGAACCAATCTTGAGGATATCAGAAGAGCACTTTTGGAGGCAGATGTATGTCTGATTCGTACTTCTGCATGATTTTTTGTTTGTATTATAACCCCCCCCCTTCATAATCTTAGGTGGAACCTATTTTGCAGGTAAGTTTGCCAGTAGTAAGAAGATTCATTGAGTCTGTAAGTGAAAAGGCCGTGAGAGCACCGATGTAATCCGGGTGTGCGACCTGACCAGCAGTTGGTGAAGGTATACCCATATTGTCGTGAAGTACCATTCTAGTATTGTACATGCAATTCCTTTGTTTGACTTTGGCTTCTTAGCCATCTTTTAATTGCATAGTTACCAAAAAATTTGTCATTTTCCTTTCTGGGAGAGCAGATAAATTAATGGATATGATATATTGTGCACAGAAGCAACCTTATCAAAGAAATTTGGTGCTTAATAGTTAATGTTGACTTAAAGCTATTTCATATGCTTGAAACACTGAAGACTAAGTTATCTCAATGATGCAGGTTGTGAATGATGAACTCGTACAACTGATGGGCGGGGAGGTATCAGATTTGGTGTTTGCAAAATCTGGGCCAACTATTATCTTGTTGGCAGGTCTGCAAGGTGTTGGAAAAACTACTGTTTGTGCGAAGCTTGCCTTCTATCTAAAAAAAATGGTGCTTTCCTTAAGCCTGTACTTTAACTATTTAAACATTTTCTAATTCATCCATAGACTTTTCGTACTTATAGACCAGTCTCAGATTACAGGGCAAGAGTTGTATGCTAGTTGCTGCAGATGTTTACAGGCCTGCTGCTATTGATCAACTCACTATTCTGGGTAAAAAGGTAAAAGCTGTAGAACTTGCCATTGATGCATATTCCGTCTCTTTTAGAATACACACTTGCTTGAATGTTCTGCTATAACTTACTCTTCAGTAGAAAACGTTTGAATGTTGATAGGTTGGTGTACCAGTTTACTCAGAAGGAACTGAAGCAAAACCTTCACAAATAGCCAAAAACGGTTTGAAGGAGGCAAAAGTCAATAAGGCTGATGTAATTATAGTGGACACGGCTGGAAGACTGCAGGTCATACACATGTTGCTTCAATATTTGTTCCACTGATTTGTTTCAGCTGTGAGTATAAATGATAAAGTGCAACTATGCGAAATCTTGGATCCAGGTCATAATCATGCTGAACTTTGAAAATGTTAGGTTGTACTTTAGATATGTGGTCAAATTGCACTATTTGTTTTCTTGTAAGGAATTAAGTTGGTAACAACATGAAAAATGGTCTGAAATGTTTACTTTGAATGAGATGTTGATATTCTTTTTTGAGAGAAACGCAGTAGGGGAATACCCTACTGTGGTATTATATAAATACATAAAAACAAGATAAGAAAACAAAACAGAAGCATCAAGAAGCGCAGCAGAACTATAGAACAGGCTATTCAGCCAAATAGAAATGCTATAAGCTTCTTTGAATCTTAAAATAATATTTCAACTCAAAATGCTATTCAGCCAAAGAGATATTTTGTTATTGTTCTATACTTCTTTGAATCTTAAAATAATATTTCAACTCAAAAGTGAAGGCCATTATAGTATTTTAAAGTAAATCAACAGATAATCTATCATGAGCTTCTGTGAAAACTGAAAATAAGTGTGTTTCACAACATAAAACTCTTTCATAGCATAATTTTTTTTTGAGAGAGAACAGGAAGGGCTTGCTCCCCTACTGAAATTTATTAAAAACAAAGAACAGAAAAACAAAAGCAGAGGCATAGGTCAGAGCCTAGCTTCATAACATAATTTCAATCTACTACTTTCCTTTTTGCTAAACTGATGCATGTCAATGCAGTTTTAGACTTTAATTTTTAATTTTTTTATGATTGGAGTATTGGCAGCTAGCTGTCCTTCATACTTTTCATGATAAATTTGATCAGTACCATTGATGTCATCTGATTAATCTTTTGTATCACTAGGTAGATAAAGCAATGATGAATGAGTTGAAAGAAGTAAAAAAGCAGTGAATCCTACAGAAGTTCTTCTGGTGGTTGATGCCATGACTGGCCAAGAAGCTGCAGGTATGCAGCTGCATCTTGTTTATTCTAAAGTTGGGTTTAGGGCTCTATTTCATCATCGTTTTATACTTAATATTTGTAGCTTACCTAATGCTCTGCCCATGTTTCACAGGTTGAAACTTGACTGTTTCATAGCTTGTGTATAAATTTCTTGTATTTCCCCATCTAGATTTGGAGTTCCTACATTTTTTGCATTATCTCATGTATATATAGTAACCTTTGATCAACATTATTAGTGTTCTCCATGATTTCTTGTGTTCTTTTCATAGGGTGGAAGCATAAGGTGCCCACTATAAGTAGCAGGACATGCCATTCTATGATATAAATCTCAAATTCTGAGTGCACACTTACCCTTTTTTTTAATGATATGGTCAGGGTTGGTCAGCTCCTTCAATGATGAGATTGGTATAACTGGTGCTATACTGACAAAACTGGATGGTGACTCAAGAGGTGGAGCAGCATTGAGTGTTAAAGAGGTTTCTTGTTTTCTGTCGTTTTGTTTCATGAATTAGCTTCAGAAAATACTATTGATTCATGTTTCTCCACAAGTAAACTACTAATTCATGGTAGCACCACACATTTGTAGGATCACTTAATAGAAAAATGCATCATGGCTATAAGGCCAAGCCAAACTTTGGTCATAGCCAAAAATGGTCAATGGAAAAATGTGGAAAAAAATATGTTCGTTCATAGCCTTTTCAAAATTTGGACATGGTCAGGAAAAATGTTTGGATGTAGCCATGCCATATTTTGTCAAACTGTGAGTCTGACATGCACGGCCCATGCTAAACTTTCGATATGTCTAGAAAATGTTTGGATGTAGCCATGCTAAATTTTGTCAAACTGTGAGTCTGACATGCACCGCTCACATGCGATTATTTTTTCTTCATTGAAACATAATAGCCATGTGTGATCTTATTTTGTAGAAGAAAAATTGTGAGAATATTATGGTGAAAACAAATTGAAAATTATATACATGGTTTAGTAGACATTAGCATTTGAAGTTTGATTACCTTCAAATTTTCATCTACATGCATACAATGGTTGCTTGACACCTCACCCATGGGAGTGGTTAGCAGCCTGGCCAAATTGCTTCCTCGAGGAGAGCCAACTTTGGTTGTTAACTGTAGCCGACCACTGACAAATTTCTCTGGTCAGGACAAATTTGGTCTCAAAATAAATAATAGAAAATTTTTCAGGGTGGGTCAAATTTTGGCTTGGTTTCTTAGGGCCTAGAACCAAATAGCCCCTTAATGTGTTCAATTGGTCATGTCCCATGACTTCCTTGTACTCCCTCTTTTACTATAGTACTTTATTTTTTAACTTACCTGTGGTATGAACAAAGGGAAAAGGAGGAGTACTGTTATATACAAGTGCTTAAACTATAAATGCTCAGCGATTACTTGTTTTACGCTTACATCATCAGCAGGTGTTCTTCCTTCCTTAGTACACATTCTGATAAATATGAAAAATTGACAAAATTTGCAGGTGTCTGGAAAGCCAATTAAATTTGTAGGACAAGGAGGCGTATTGAAGATCTTGAGCCTTTCTACCCAGATCGTATGGCACAGCGTATCCTGGGAATGGGAGATGTACTTTCATTTGTTGAAAAAAGCACAAGAAGTGGTAAGTCACTTCTTGTGAAATGTTCCTTTGTCTTGTCTTTTATTAGACTATAATTTGATATTCTATGGCATTACCTGTTTGTACAAGTAGATGTGTCAAGAAGATGCTGAGGAATTACAGAAGAAGATCTTGAGTGCAAAATTTAACTTTAACGACTTTCTGAAGCAAACACAAATGATTGCACAAATGGGTTCATTCAGTCGTTTTAATTGGCATGATTCGGGCATGAACAAGGTATAAATATGAACTTCTGGACCTAATTTAATACCTTACTTTGGAATTGTCTTATGAAAGCAATTAATGATCATATTCAAGGCTATAAAATTCACATTATTAAGATTTAAGACAAATCTTGCCATGTTTAAATAGGTTACCCCTGCACAAATCCGTGAAGCTGAGAAGAATCTCAAGTTTATGGAGTCAGTGATCAATGTAATGACTCTCGGTATGTATTCCACATTTAAGAGACATCCTAAAAATATCTTTTTTGCATATTCCTCCTGAACTCTTACTATCCAGTGTTTCGTATATACTGTTTTAAGTCTTGTAACACATATTTGGAGCTGGTATGTGAAACTTATTTAGTATTTGATTTTTAAGCCCAATGATTTGCCACGAAGTCAATAGCTTGTCTGAGCCTGCTTGACCAGCATTACAAACATGTAATAGTGTGACTATATAGATTAGCTTCCACTTGCTATCGTCTGTTTGGTTGGTGTCCTACTATTCTCACAGTCGCAAGAGAGGCCTTAAGTTGCCTCAGGTTTGAGATTGTTCCACTTCCAAAAATATCTATTTTCCCTTTAAAATTCTACAAATATATTTGACAAATTTCTTTTATGATGAGTCTGAACTCTGACAAGAGGATGAATTCATGCATTGCTGAAGGAATTGATTTTTTTAACTAAACATACATAACATATTTAACTTTGAGGCTGAAATCTAAGGCCACTGACTAAACAGTGTCTCAGTCGATAACTAATCCTGAGTTGCTTGATGGCAATAACCCCATCATTCCTATATGTATGCTCAGTTGTTTATCGGGGCTTGTGCAGAGGAAAGGGAAAGGCCAGAGTTACTTGCTGAATCACGCGAGAGAAGGAAACGAGTGGCCAAGGACTCTGGAAAAACCGAACAGCAGGTTCAGTTCTTATCATGCATGATCTTTTCCTATATGTTCTAGTATATAAACCAAAGTAATCACCAAGAGATCTGATTAACTGTTCCTCCACTATAAGGTGAGCCAATTGGTTGCACAACTCTTCCAAATGCGTGCAAAAATGCAGAAAATGATGGGCGCTATACAAGGAAAAGAGTCGCCAGATATGGACGAGCTCATGGAATCAATGAAAGCTGAGGAGCAGGTAAAAGGCATCTCTAGTCCAGACCCTACCAATGATTTGGGGCACGCCTGTGACCGGAAGGTCCCGAGTTCGAGTCGCGGTCTCCTCGCATTGCACATGCGAGGGTAAGGCTTGTCACTGACACCCTTCCCCAGACCCCACACAGAGCGGGTGCTCTCTGCACTGGGTACGCCCTTTTATGTGTTTGTTGAGTTAAAAAGCTTTTGCAACTGTGTCTTTCAGGCTGCTGCCGGTACTGGACGACGTAGAAGGAAGTATGGCAACCTGAGGCAGCGGCAACTGGATGCAATGCGTGGTTTCCGCAGACGGTGAGATGTTCATTGCAGACTCTGACTGGCAGCGTCAGGTCTGCCGTATTCCTGCCTGCGTGCATGGACGGTTATCCCAGGGATTTGGCTCGGATTCAGAAGTGGAAAATGAAGTGCTTTCGGGAAATTAGAATGTCATCTGGATATCCTACTCTGGCTAGTCGTGTGCAGCCTTTCTATTTTGCCATACTGGACGTATGCCAAAGTAAAATTCACCTAATTGCACCATCTGAATGACTGAACCCTGCCCGCTGGTGGCAGGTGTGGAAACAGATCGGATACCCGTGTCGCTATTTACCATTTTTTTTTTGTCGAATATGAATACGGATCCGAATGTCCTTGGTTACGAATACAAAACGAATTAGCTCAGATTCAGTTTGCATTGGAATACCTCTTCAATTTGGGAGAATTATTTATTTGGAATACCTCTTCAACTCGGCCTCAACAACGGTGGTATCTAATGCTGTGAGTTCTGCTTTCATTGTTGACCTCGTTAGGGCCGGTCTGCTCGCATGACTTCCATGAAACAACGCCACCTCAAGTGCGAACACATATCCACTTGTATGGCGTAAATCTCATCAACATCGGATATCAAATTTGCATCACAAGTAACCCTCTAGTACCCTTGGATACCGGTATAGTGAATACCATAGCTCACAGATCCCTTTTAGATAGCGCAATACCCTCTCAAAACACGCCAATGATCATCTTTGGGTTTGAAACAAACCGGCTAAGTTTACTCATAGCAAACAAGATGTCGAAACCTCGTTGCACTAACTAAATACATAAGTAAGCCAATAATTTGAGAATATCTCAATTGATCCCATGCTATTATGTGATTTTCCTCAATAGCACACTTGGGTCATAAGGAGTTGAAATAGGTGTGCAGTCACTGTACCCAAAGCGACTCAGCACCTTTTTCATATAGTGGGATTACAAAAGAGTTACCCAAAGTGACTCAGCACCTGTTCGTAGCATCTTCAGGATATCACCCTTGATGTCTTGCGGTACACACCGAGCAGTGTCGTGCACCATAGGTCTTCATCTTGTGGGCTGGTGAAAGGTCCTAATGGCTAGAGGGGGGTGAATAGCCTAAAATCTACAACAACACTTAACAAACCGGTTAGACAATTGTGAGTAAGCAAGTGTTGCGCTAGCCTACTAAAATAGCAAACCACCTACCATAATTCTAGTTTATATAGTTTCTATCCACACAATAGCTATGACACTACACTAAGTTAGCGTGCTCTCAAAAAGCTCACTAAAGAGCCACACTAACCAAACTAACAAGCTCTCACAACTAGCTACACTAAAGAGCTTGACAATTAGTTTATGTAATATAAAGAGAGTGAGCAAGAATATTATACCGCCGTGTCAAGAAAAAGCCAATCAATCACTAGAATGAATAACAATGAAGACCAATCACCTCGGAATCAAATGATGAACACAATGATTTTTTTACCGATGTTCACTTGCTTGCCGACAAGCTACTCCTCGTTGTGGCGATTCACTCACTTGGAGGTTCACGCGCTAATTGGCATCACATGCCAAACCCTCAATAGGGTGCCGCACAACCAACATAAGATGAGGATCACACAAGCCACGAGCAATCCACTAGAGTACATTTTGGCTCTCCATCAGGGAAAGGTCAAGAACCCCTCACAATCACCACGATCGGACGGAGACAAACACCAACCTCCACTCGGCGATCCTCACTGCTCCAAGCCATCTAGGTGGCGGCAACCACCAAGAGTAACAAGCCCGAATCTCATGATGAAACACGAACACCAAGTGCCTCTAGATGCAAACACTCAAGCAATACACTTGGATTCTCTCCCAATCTCACAAAGATGATAAATCAATGATGGAGATGAGTGGGAGAGCTTTGGCTCAACTCACAAGGCTGCTATGTCAATGCAAATGGCCAAGAGAGTGAGCTTGAGCCCGGCCATGGGCTTAAATAGAAGCCCCCACAAAATAAAGCCGTTGTACCCCTTCACTAGGCACAACACGGGTGACCGGACGCTGCTGCGGTCAAATTGACCGAGACGCCTGGACCTCGGCGTTCGGTCACGTGATGCGTGCCACGTGTCCTCTCTCTTCAAATGTTGATCGCTCGATCTCAACGGTCAAGTAACGACCGGACACGGCAGCTCAAAGTGGCCACGGACCTTTGGACCTCGGCGTTGATCGTTTCGATAAGCATCCGAAATAATTTTCCGCGACCCAGACGCGTCCGGTCATGCTCGGCCGGACTCACCCAAGATCCGGTCACATGGTGTTTCCCCTATGCATGACCATGTCGGTGTGGACCGGATCACGACCACCCAGCGTCCGGTCATTTTTCAAGTGCCAATGTCCGGTCGGCGACCAACGCTGCGCTTCTTACACTCTTCTGCGGCCAAGCGCGCGGTCCTTGAGAGACCAGCGTTCGGTCACTTACTGATGACCACGTTCACTTGAGTTTAGGCGTCGATGGCACCATGTCGGGTATCCGCACTCTCTGGCCGGACACTCCATCGGTGAAGTTAATAACCCTTGTTCAAATATGCCAACCACCAAGTGTATCACCTTGTGCACATGTGTTAGCATTTTTCACAAACATTTTCAAGGGTGTTAGCACTCCACTAGATCCTAAATGCATATGCAATGAATTAGAGCATCTAGTGGCACTTTGATAACCGCATTTCAATATGAGTTTCACCCCTCTTAATAGTATGGCTATCTAACCTAAATGTGATCACACTCGCTAAGTGTCTTGATCACCAAAATAAAATAGCTCCTACTATTTATACCTTTGCCTTGAGCCTTTTGTTTTTCTCTTTCTTCTTTTCAAGTTCAAGCATTTGATCATCGCCATGCCATCACCATCGTCATGATCTTCGCCATTGCTTCATCACTTGGAGTAGTGCTACCTATCTCATGATCACTTTGATAAACTAGGTTAGCACTTAGGGTTTCATCAATTCACCAAAACCAAACTAGAGCTTTCAGCTGGACCGCCCCTAGCAGCGCAGCCCATGTAGTTTGTCGTGGGTATCCGGGGTCGTACCCCCCACACTTGCCCTCAGTTTTGTCATCTAGCATAGTGGAGATGATGACTTGCTTGTTATTGTTGCCATCGAATAGGGGTACTTTCTTAGTTTCTTTCTTTAACCGCTCGCTTTGGTTTCTTGTTACGGTTCATTGTCACGAAGGATCCTTAGCTTTTGGCTTTTCTTTGTTGAGGTTGTGCACATTTTTACGACACAGGGTAGCTGTTTCTTACGCTATTACAGGCGAGGTCTTGGTCATCGTGTCGGCAATCACGCCTTTAGCGGAGGGCACTTCATATAGAGATAGCCGGGTGGGGCGGCGGCTGAAGATGTTTGCAACCCCTCATTAAAGATTGCATTATGGTTAATACAACATGTCCACCACATCGAAGGTTATGTGCTATGTTCTGCTTTGTTGTTTTGGTCGTCGAAGGTTCTTGGAAGTGTTATCTTTCCTATTGCCTTTACTTGCTTGCCTCAGAAAGCCATATAGTGGTCGTCCAGCTGGTTGGAGAAGTTTTCTATCGAGTTTTATGTTGTTGAAGGTTGACGCGAATAGGATGTCTACGGAGCTTCTAGTGTCGACCAGGATCCTTGTTACTGCCCAACCGGCCCGGTTTATCTCGATGACCATCGCGTCGGTGTGAGGGTAGTCTTTTAGTTTGAGATCCGTCTTTGTCGAAGGTTACTAGGGTGTGGGACCACTACAAGTTCTTGTGGGGCCCCTCGGTAATGGGTGGTGCCTTTGCCTCATGTGCTCCTTGCGCTACCTCTTGTTGCCATGATCCTCGTTGGATCCTCTAGTGATTGCAAGTATCACACCAAGGTTCTAGTTGGGTTGTTGATTGTTGTTTGGTTGAGTTGGCTTGTGGGCTCTGGTTTTACTTGTTGATGTTGGTTTCTTTGGCGGTGGTGGTGGTGGTAAAATTTGGATCTTGGTTTTGCATTTGGGGTGGGGTGAGGGGATGGGTGACCTTGTATGGTTGGTTATTGGGATGATTGTTGTAGTTGAATGATGGTGAGGGTTGTCGTGATTCTTTGTAGTGGTGGTAGGATGGGTTGTAGGTTGCGAAGGTTTGATCTTGTGTGTGTGTTGGTGTTGCGAGGGATACCGTAGTTCTTTGGAGTGTATTGGTATGGGGTGGTTGCGGGGTGGGTTGTCTCCTTGTGTAGTTAATAGGTTTGGGTGGGCTGAAGCTGCGGCTTGTTGTGCCTCTTGATATTCTTTTCCCTTCACGAGCATCACAGCATTGTTTTATTGTGTGGCCTTTTCCTAGTCCGCGAAATGGCCGTATAAGCTTATTGGATCTCTTGGGTTGGGTCTGGTTTGGGTATGTTCTCTGCTGTCGTTTTGGCTGTTGGCGGGGGTTTGTTGAGATCTTGAACTTGGTTGTTGTCTTTGGCGTTGCAGAGGTGTGGCCTCTATGGTATTCATATTGATTAATTCATTGCGAGGGTACTGGTTGAGCTATGGTGGTCCTAGATGAAAGCTCTAGTTTGGTTTTGGTGAATTGATGAAACCCTAAGTGCTAACCTAGTTTATCAAGTGATCATAAGATAGGTAGCACATTCCAAGTGGTGAAGCAAATGAAGATCATGACATGATGATGGTGATGCCCACGGTGATGATCAAGTGCTTGGACTTGAAAGAAGAAAGAAAAAATAAAAGGCTCAAGGCAAAGGTATAAGTGGTAGAAGCTATTTTGTTTGGGTGATCAAGACACTTAGCGAGTGTGATCACATTTAGGATTGATAAATGTACTATTAAGAGGGTGAAACTTCGTGTCGAAATGTGGTTGTCAAAGTGCCACTAGATGCTCTAACTTATTGCATATGCATTTAGGATCTAGTGGAGTGCTAACACCCCTTGAGAATATTTGTGAAAATATGCTAACACATGTGCACAAGGTGATACACTTGGTGGTTGGCACATTTGAGCAAGGGTTCTAAACTTCACCGGGCAGAGTGTCGGCCCAGAGAAGTGGACGATCCGGCGGTGCCACCGACGCCCTATAAAAGAAAAGACTGGGTCTCATAGAGTGGACCGGACATTTGGCCTCAAGCCCAGGACCAGTAGCGTTCGGTCGATAGAAAGCGATGAAGGCGTTGGCGTCGGTCTTTGACCGAACATTGGCTGGGTCGTCCCGGTCCCGCCGATGTGGTAGCGCCTGAGAGGAGATGTTGAGTGACCGAACGCCGGGT